CCGCCTGCTGTGTCCATTGTGTGTTCGTCGCCCGCTCGGCTGCGGCTTTCGCGTACGAGGGAGCTTCTTCGCTGAAGCGTTGTGAGAGGGCAATGGCAGCGGCTGCCGTGAGGGTGACGCGGTCCGTCTGGTTCTTGACGGCTTTGGCTAGCGACGAGGTTTTGTTGTAAGCGTCCCACTGATTAGAGCGAAGCGTGACGTGCTTCTGTGCGACAGATTTGGAGGCATTGAATAGCTTGGCGGCATCGACAAGCCGTCTACCTGCCATTTCGATCGGATGAAAGGGCTACCGGAAGGCGCGACACATGACGAGGGGTGCTGTAGCTTTGCGTAAGCTGCGGAGGCTCTCGTGAGGCCATCGAAAGTTATGCGCGTCATAGCCGGATGGGGTTAGGCTGAAGTGCGGAAATGGTGCGATTGGCTGGCCATCATAGCCGACAAGGGTCTTGATCGTCTAGTGGGGCAGCCAGCTGCATCCATACCCTCAACAGCGCGACATTTGATTTACTGTACTCTCCATATCCGTCGCCGCATTCGGTCCCTTTTTACTCTTGGTAACCAATCAGACTTCGTAGCCATCTGTCACGACAAATCAACCAGTGCTTGGTGCCTGAGTAGCGTCAGTCGGTACTTCCCAGCCGTACGGGAAGATAGCAACTATTCGGCCTATCAGTCTCGACTGATTCAGGCACAAGATACAAGTCTTCTCTTAGCAGCCTTCTGAAAACCCCAGACAGCCTCACAATTCCACGCCGAAGTCCTGGACGTAATCAGAATCCGTTCATCCAAACAAACCCAAGAGAGTTGCAAACATGAAAGTCGCCTGTCTCCAATTCGCCCCAGAAGTCGGGCGCGTTCCAGAAAACATCCAAAGAGCAGAACGCATCCTCCAGTCTACCGCCATTCCTCACGACCTAGCATGGCTCGTCCTCCCTGAACTCGCCTTCTCGGGCTACAACTTCCAATCGCTCGAGGAGATCCAACCCTTCCTCGAGCCCACCACATCCGGCATTTCAACCCAATGGGCACAGAAAGTAGCAAAACATTACAACTGCCATGTCACAGTCGGTTACCCAGAAATCACCACCCCAGCCACCAATCCCGGGGACAGTCAAACGCAGTACAACTCTACCGTCACTGTATCGCCAGATGGAGAAATCCTAAACAACTACCGGAAATCCTTCCTTTACTACACAGACGAGACATGGGCATCTGAAGGACCCGGTTCAAAGTCGCATAAACTATCCAATCCCTCATCGCCAGATTCTCCCTTCTATGCCGGCCAACTCGGTAGCCTGGGGAAGGTTACCATGGGGATATGTATGGATATAAATCCTTACAAGTTCGTCTCTCCTTGGGCCGATTATGAGTTCTCTACTCTCGCTCTAACATCCCAATCTCCGATTGTTTGCATAAGCATGGCTTGGCTATGTCACCTTACGCCTACGGAACTTGTACAGGAGCCATCGCAGCCGGATATAGCGACGGTAGCGTACTGGGTCGAGCGCTTCCAACCGCTTGTTGAGGCCAAGGGAGACAAACCCGTCTATATCATCATGGCGAATCGGTGTGGAATGGAGAAGGGCGTCTGCTATGCCGGCAGTAGTACAGTGATACGGATCGAGAAGGGTGTTGTCAGTCTGTACGAGACAGCGGGCAAGAGCGAGGAGACTTGTTTGATCGTGGATCTGACCCAGCGACCCAAGTTTCAGGTGAGGAGTGGGAGGTGATGGGTCAGAGAACGTCAGCACGAGGGCTTTGCCTTATACGGGGAAATCCCTAAACACCCCAGAGCCTACAGATCTTCTGATCCGTTTGTTCCTATCATGGTGTAGTCTGCAGACCTGTTTGGGGGTTTCCTTGTCTGAGGTGGCTTGCTTTCTGAGGCATGTTCGCTAATGTGGCCATCCGTAGGCCGATCGGACGTACGACAGAGACCGCCTTGGGCTGATACTGAGACGATTACCGTTACCGTTGCAACGGCGATTGTTGCCGGCCGCTCCAAAGAAACCTTACGCGCGGAGGTGATCGTCGTAGAACGGTTTCTCCAAGAAGTCGCCTCAATCAATGAGAAGACTAAGAACCCTGGAGCCTACATGGACGCCAGATTTTCTAATTTGCCTGTGTTATCCTATTGTAGTCTGTAGACCTGTCGGGTCTTTCCTTGTGTGAGGTGGTGTTATCGAAAGGCTAAGCAATGGGGCTAAATCAATATCGCGGGGGGTCATCGCGGGATACAGTTAATGCCGTGTAGCCAATATCCTTCACAAGAGCGCCGTACATGTGTAGTCTTCTCAGGCAAGATGTAACAATGAGCCTGAAATGGAGTTTAGTGCCAACCCGCGTTGGGAGTGCGAGTGTCTAATCCATAACAAAAGCGACGCTCGTCACATATGACGCATCTGGGATCATATTGCGCGCACAACATCACAATCATCAGCACACCAGAAGTCATTTGTTGTGACCCAGCAAGTGTTTCCATTTAGCACTGCTCAGATCTAAACCATCATGAATCGATTCCTTTCATTCCCATTTACAGACCCAAAGCGCCATGAATGAGAGGTAGGTAGGCATCCGGTAACGTGAAAAGAACACCACCCATAGCATCCCTCGTTTGCAGACGTGCTTCGCTTAGAAGACTGGTCGCTCGCTTCCCGCCATGTGCGAAATTCCCAATGTAGTCGCTCGTTTCGTGTGGGGTAGGTTGTCGGCGCAGTAACAAGGAGTAGTTGGGAATCGAGAATCGAGTGAGGGATGGTTCGTCGGGGGCGATACGCTTAGATACCGAGACGAGTCTTGCGCCAGTGTCGGCGCTTGGCGTTGTACCTGTGGGCGGAATGTCAGTCTCGTGCTCTCATCATCATATTATCGTGTCCTTGTAATCTCTGGTGACGGAGATCGGAAGCGGCGAGAGCGTGCGGATCGTGGGTAGAGCGTACCTGATGGTGTTGCCCGTCCTCAGGCGAATCCACTGGGGGATGGGGCGGTTCTGCTTCTGCGCCTTTGCAAGCTTCTGCTTGGTGCGGAAGGACTTTTGGGACTGCGAAAGTGTCAATAAGTGGCCCTACAGTGCGTCGCAACCGCGGGCGGTGATATCATACCGGCATCTTGACTGCTTGTTGTGAGTAGTCGGATGTCGAAAGGTGTTGTCGATGTCGGAAAAAAGCCAGGAATATTGATCGATGTTGGTGCGCTTGGCGGGCGGCAAGCAGAAACGGCTAGACCGTGTTGGGCGCGCTAGCGGGGCTTTAGCGTCATTGCCGTCTCAAACGCGCAGGTGCGCTGACCTGCAACATTGACATTTCGCTGCTCTAGATCTTTCGAGTGCGCAGCAGGGCTGGAGTCTCAAGCGAAATCTGTAGTCTTGTAGCAAGAACAGTTCCCTGCGCTGTGCTTCGCGGGGTGTGTCTGACTTCGCAATTCGGCTCTGCGGCGTGACCGCGCTGAACTAACACGCATAGCCAACATTGCGCAAAATCGCAGAGCGCCATACCGGACTGTGTCATGGCATCTGATACATACTTTGGCCTATCAGCCAAGTTCTGATTAGTAGAAACGGGTCAGCATCCAATTATGCAACTCCACTACAGTTGACCACGCCTCCACCGCTTTTCACATCACTTCTCAGGGAAAGGAATGGTGCACCGAGACGGTCATCTCAAGAGTCGGGATCGTATCTGGTATTACTACTGACTTTATCAATTCGAGTACTACCTCACAAGTCGAGCTCAGCAATTGATATCTTGCAACCAGGCGTCCTATCACAATACTCGCTTCAAGAACACTTCATCAACTTGGTCGCATAATCACGTACCGCAGATATGGAGCCGAAAGGTGTGAAAGGTACGAGAGCTGCTCACCATCACCGTATACTTCCAGACGATGTCGTTAAGAGAGAGTAGAAAATGCAGCACTGCAAAACACCCATGCAACAGCAGCTGCCACCCTGCTTGAACTTCCAGACCAAAACACCGCCTCGGAATCATCTTCTCCTCCTCCCCAAACAACAGCCACTCGTCGCCTCCGCGCGGTCAAAGCACACCTCGCCCCTCCTAAACGCTATGCAGTTTACGCAAAAGACCCTAAGAACATAGCCCAAGTGGCCGCCACGCGAGCGTGGCTCGACACCATCGTGTACGACACGTTCGCGATACGAGAATTTTACAGCTGGTATTGGGGTGATGAGGGTATACCGAAAGAAGAGATCGACAAGGCCGATGCTGAAGGTAGATTGGAGCAATGGCTTGATGAGGCTGAGGTTGTATCTATGTGGTCGGGGTGTATGCTCGACGAGGAAGGGGCGAGGTTGGTGGCGGAGAAGACAGAGTGGATTTCAGTGATTGACGGGAGAAGGTATCACATCTCTGATATGTGCTGATGTGGAATGAGGTTTTCAAGAGGAGAATTTGTTGACACTAATACTGTGGCAAGGTGGAGATACATGCTTGTTTCAACATATCACTACATTATTCCAATGTGTGGGGAAGAGTAGCTCGATGTTTCTATTGTGGTCGGTGAATTTCATCACTCCAAATTTCCGGAAAGCCTAGAACAAGAATGCTCTTACGCGATAGTCCCTTGCAGCGTCGAATAGTAAAGAGGACCGGGTGCTGAACTACTTCATGAGGATATAGCAAACGGCGGATTCCAACTGTGACATATGAGCATGAGCCACTGCCGGACGATAGCTCCGTCAGCTCGTGTTGCGCAGTGATTCATGAACCTTCTGGGGAAAACATTGAGGGTACTGTTTTAGGAGTTTTACGGTGAATTCACTGACTAGCGTGGCGCTACGGAGTAGGCAACTGCGTCCCGAGGTCGTCGCCATTCCCACACTCGCCCTCAATTACCAGCATTGAATCCCACAATCAAAATAGCGCATCCCGACCCCGGCGCACCTAGTGGCGCTCGGTCGCAATCTGTCACGGTAATGGCGCTCAACTTCCTGTAAGACATATCTACATGATATCCAAGACAATCTTAACAATCATGACAGGACCATGGATCTTGTCTCAGTTACCGTACGCGTCGGCGAGGCAGACGCGTCAGTAGATATCGTCGTCTACCGCAATATACTATCTGCAGTCTCACCTTACTTTCGCAGCGCTTTTGAGGGTTCCTTCGTGGAAGCCACTGATCGCCTCATATCCCTGACAGACGTCACCGAGCAGACTTTCCGCATGTTCCTACGATGGACGCAGATACAGGCCCACAACAACCAATTGCCGAGCGGCACTATTGTTCCGCCACCTGCCATACTTGTTCCAAATTCAACAACACAGCATGGGCACGCGACTGCGACCGGTCCTGCAGAGCTGCAGCCCCCGCATCCTGCGAGAAGCGGCCCAAACGCGGAGACTCTGCCAGACACCACACGAGCACTCGACGAGCCTGGCTATCATCAACTAACGCATTCCGAAGACACAGACAAGTTATACTTCGAAAATCCGGAATGGTTCGAGGGATATTGCTTGTCGCTGCTTTCGTTTCTGCGTCTCTACGTGTTCGCTGACAAGTACAACGTCCCCCAATTACGCGACGACGTGTTGACTGCCGTGCTCGCACAGTCAATTTCATGGAATTGGTGGCCTGATATTGAACAAGGAGTGATCCAATTCGCGTACGCAAATCTGCCGTCATCCTCCAAATTCATTCGCTTCTTAGTCATATCCACAGCCTTCGTTTGGCTCTCTCAGGATGGAAACTGTAGCGCTACTAAATTGCGTATACTGAGAGAGCTGAATGAGGACTTTGCTTTTGACGTTACCGTGGTGCAATTCCAGAGGCTCAAGACTAAGAAAACATCGGAAGGTGTGCCGTTAGGGATGAAGGACGCTGTGACAAATTCTTGCGCCTTGCACGAGCACCTAGTTCAAGACGCAGAACAATGTCGAAAGCGCATTCACCACCAACCGTACATCTTCACCGGACTCATGGAGATGTGCGCGCAAGCCGCCTTGGCCATGAAGAAAGAGTCTGATAAGGAATAAAGCTCACGTAAGGAGTAAGACTGAACAGGTGTGTAGCCATTTACACTACTTAAGAGATTCAAGCTAACAGTATCCCAGGGTAGGAAAGAGTTCTAGGGGGCACATGTTCAAATTCTTCTGAGTATGTGGTGCATAGGTGGGGAAGGCATCCTAGGGTACACACTGGATCAGATGAAAAATGACCAAGACATTCGTATCAAGGGTTCAAATTTTGGCGCCGACCTCTGGAGATGATAGACAGCCAAGACAGGAGTTTGAGACCTGGAACGACGCTACTGTACCGGCGTGGGGATGAGTACATTACTTGAGACTGCCGGTCAGTGTGGGTCCCCGCCAAAAAATGGGCACAGAACGGCCAGAAGGGTCAACTTCGTGAAGTCAGGTCCTAACGGGAGATTCCAGATGACAAGCGAATGAAAGTAATGTTGCAGAGGGGCTCAATGTGACTGCGTGAAACATAAGACACGAAACTATAGTCGAAATCTTGCAGCGATGTCTCGGCTGTTCGACCCCAGATTGCTAGTGTGGCGCTATGGCCACAGCTAAAGTGGATGCAGGCGCAAGGATTCTGGGCCTCAGAAATGTCGATCCCGTCTCCGAACCAGGACCCTCTTGTTTCGGCGAACCTACTCGTCGCATTCGCGCACGCGTCGGCGGTACCACGGTTGGTCATGTCTCTTGGGCGTTGACACCGGCTGAAGTGCTTCACGGCATCTTCTTTTAACTCTTCGCATCGCCGCGCTTTTCATCTCAAGTCTGTTCGGCTGGCGCGCGCATTTACCCGTCCAAGTCTTTTCCCGTAGTCAATCGCGGTGCGCCATAGCGATAGCGATAAGAGAACGACACCAGGTTGGCTCATTGTCTTTGTCGCGTCGACGCGCAGGAACTTGATTCGAAGGAATTGGCCCTCTAATCACGCCTCTAGAGCAACTGCATTCCAATCGCAGCCATGACAGACTATGGCTCCACACCACCGCCCAAGTCGCCCTCTCCGGTGACAGTCCCACGCTCCTCGAGCCTCCCGCGCCTGGCCAGCTCCAAGCTCTTCCTCCCGCTGCAGAACGATGCTTCGGCGATATCTACGCGTGGGCACCACCTCCCCTCGCTACTCAACAGCGCACGTCGGCCGTCCACTATACGCAGCAGTGAGCGCCGGGGCAGCGACACAGACGATGAAGACCTGGAAGCATACAGAAACGGGCTCGTGATGCCTTACGACCGCGACTCCGATCGGAGGAGCAGCATAGGCGCGCATGTGCTCAACACGCCGCAGATGAGGAGCCAGCGGCTGATTGGCAACTCCAATCCCCGGTACAAGTGGGAGAAGTACTACAAATCCGAGGAAGAGCTCAAGGGCATGAAGAAGCCGATCCGCGAATACTACGAGCGCAACAACCAGCTCCTGCAGCACTACCTGTACATCGACCGTCTACTTGACTCTTCCCTCCCGCACAACCTCATCCAAGAGTACACGAACATGGAATCTGGCGCCGTCAAGATCCCCTCAACCATCAGGGAAGAGTCTTCGGCCTCGACTTCTCCCCTCGCTGTTACCCCCGCTGGTACAAATGGCACCAACACGCCCGGTTACTATAGTGAGAACGGGCGAAGTGGTTCATCAGGCAGTCTCAACGGCAATGGCGCTCAGAAACCCATGGTAAAGCGCACGCCGAAGAACCTCTACAAAGTCCCCGAAGCAGACGAAAACACGCCTCTTCTCGCACACGACGAGGCCGTAGAAGACGAAGAAGACCTAGAGGTCGCAAACTCCAAGCTGAAGGACTGGGTTCCTGAAGAAGACGAAGACACCGAGAGCCCCATTGTCAAGCTCGCACTATACGTCAACCTCAGCGCAAACACAGCCCTCCTGATCATGAAGATCGTCGTCACGGTCCTCACCTCGTCCCTCTCCGTAGTCGCCAGTTTGGTCGACGCAGCCCTCGACTTCCTCTCCACGGCCATCGTATGGTTCACATCCTGGATGATCGCACGTCAAGACCGCTACGCCTACCCAGTCGGCCGCCGCCGTCTCGAACCCATCGGCGTACTCATCTTCTCCGTCATCATGATGACCTCCTTCTTCCAAGTCGGCATCGAGGGCATTTCCCGACTCACTGGACCCGACCGCACAATCGTACAATTGACCATCCCCGCAGTGGCCATCATGGCCGCTACAGTCGTCATTAAAGGCCTCTGCTGGCTATGGTGCCGTCTCATCCGCAACTCGTCCGTCCAGGCACTAGCCCAAGACGCTATGACTGATGTCGTCTTCAACACCTTCTCCATCCTCTTTCCGCTCGTGGGTTACTTCGCGAAGATCTGGTGGCTCGACTCGCTCGGCGGTATCTTGCTCTCCGCTTATGTTATCATCAACTGGAGTGCTACCTCCGCGGAGCATATTCGCAACCTGACTGGTGCGAGTGCCACGGCAGATGAGCGCAACATCCTCCTCTACATGACGATGCGCTTTGCAAAATCCATCAAGAGGATTCAGGGTCTGCAGGCTTACCACGCGGGTGATAAGCTGAATGTCGAGGTGGATATCGTGGTTGACGAGAATCTCAGTTTGAGGGATAGCCATGATTTGGGTGAGAGTCTGCAGTATGTGCTTGGTAAGTCATTCTTCTCTATCTTTTCACGGAGTTGTAAACTAACAGCCATACAGAGAGTGTTCCGTACGTTGATCGCGCGTTTGTACATATCGATTATACGGATTACAACTTCCCGACACACATGTCGCAGCAGGAGTGAGCGGAAGATGTGCCTGGCACCTGAGTTGGCTGTACATATAGCATCGGAGACAAAAGCATCTGGAAATGGAAGACCTGGCTGAGCAATAGAAGCATGCTGGTACATAGCATGTGCTTGCGAACTCGCCTCCCGTAAAGACTGCCCATCATCGCCTCTTCTCAGGCTCACGTGGTTGCTATTGGTTTATGGAACTGGGGATATCCGCAATAAAGGACGTCGAAACGAAAACGAGCGTGAAAGAGTGACATCAGTCCGACTGGACGGGCCCCAGTCCTAGAAGAGACGGTAGGGAAAAACATTGCCCGGAACTCTACATAGAGCCAAAAAGAATAGAACGACAGAAAGAGGTACCCATGTCGTTGCTACGACCATACATGCACTCACCACGTGCAACCAACCAGCCGTCTCCTTTTCCTCTCACGACCTGATTCCTTCGTCAAACTTTTCTCACACAGCTCATCCGACAGGGGATCTATGACACCACGTCAGCATAATATCAAAGCGCACAGTCACCACTTCCCATTCCAGACTCTCAAACTTACCATGGTTTTCCAGTTCACCGGCGCAACTAATCTGCTGCTCGCCCTTGAACAGCGCTCACGGACTCTGCCCATTCTTCCTATAGACATATTCCTCGCCGAAGAGATTCAGCGTCCACTCTCCCGCCGGCCACGTCGGATGCTCGAATAGATTCTCATCAGTCGTCGCGCCTTGATCGTCTTGGTGGAAGTCGTTGAGTAGAGAGGTGCAAAGGCTGTCGGGTTCTTGGTTGTCGTCTTCGCGGCGGTAGAAGAAGTATCGGTTCTGATATTTGAATTTGCAGCTGTCATGTGGGGGGTAATCAGGGTTAGAGATGACGCTGGAGCATTCTGGGGTCGTGGTTTGTTCGAGGCCGACGGTGAAGGTGCGCTTTTGGGGTTGAGGGGATGGGCTGGGCGACTAGTTGTTGGAGACGCTGTCGTGGGCTGCTTTGTCGGCGCCGTTCCAGATCTGTTCGGACTGTCAGCTTCCTTACTAACTTCGGATTCTGTTGCCGTCGTTCTTACCATGTTGACTTGCTTGTCGGGATCTTTGGCACGCTCCCAGCTCGACTCAGGTGTGGTTATCCATCTCTTGATTTCTTTCACTCGGTCGGGTCCTTGCTTGCTCTGGTCCCAGGATTCGTAGTTCATGTGTGTAGCAATAATGCCTGCCACCGCCGGGGCAGCGAACGACGTACCCGAATCCTGCGTTGCTGCACCGTCATATTGATCGTGGACGTCGACATCCACTCCAACACCGTAGATGGTCAGCTGTGTGCGCTTCTCTGGATCTTGCTGAGTACCCAGGCCTTGCGAGAAAGGTGCAGCTTTGCCTGCAAGCGTGGCAGCCCCGACGTTGATAATGGGAAAGTCATCTGTCTCCAAGACCTGGGGGAAATGGTCGATGACTTTTCGGCCTTCAGTTTCGGCTTCATTACCAGAAGCGAGCACCACGGGGACCCCGTAACTGAATAACTGGTTTATCCAGAGAATCTCTTGCTTTGCTCTGTAATCGTTCTCTGCTTCTTCTCGTGTGTAGCCCTTGTGACCATTGTCTCCGACGGCGCGTTCTGTGCCCCTGCTCATAACGACAACCTGAAAGTCACGCGACGTTAGTATACTCAATAAGCTTAGTCCAGAACAGTAAACTTGCGTCGATGGCGTCGGTTGTTGGTCGTACTTACAGCTTGGAACCCTGGTATTTTCCTGCGCCGCCTGCTTACATCTGCAAAAATCCTTTCGAACCCGTTGTGAATGTCGTCTCCGCCCGGTTTGACCTGCACCGGCACCAGTGTCGCTCCCTTTGCGGTTCCCCACTGCCCAACGATCTTGGACGCTACTTTCGTTCCGTGGTCTTTAGGGGAATGGTCGTATCGAATGTTGTGCGCATCATTTTGGTTGGTGAAAGCTCTTGTTTCTACGATACCGCTATTGTCCTGCTCGTTGTCGGATCCTGGAAACACTTTTTCGCCGGTTTCCTGAAGTCGGGTTAGAGCGATGTCACCGACGTATGTGAGGTAAGTCACTACCTTTTTGACATCTACCTGTACTCCATGATCCAAAACATACACATGTACTCCCTCTCCAGCTCTCTTCTCGTAAACGTAGTCCTTGCTGTTTGTAACAGGTTAGTTTCGGCCTTTTAGGGCTTCGAGTACCTTAGTAGGTAGTTACAAGTCGTCCAAATTGCTTCCCCTTGGATTGATATGTTAGCCCAGTCAAGATACAGCATTCAGACCTTTACTTACTCATAACAGCTGACTTGGACCAAGTCCCGCGCTGCACCCTCCTGCTTCTGCCAATCTCCCCATTCGAATTTCCGAGCTTCCAAGGTTCCCGTAGTCTTGATACTCATTCTGGGGACAGCACTCATCTCTACTTCGTGGTATTGACTCGGATCCTCGACATGCTCCACCCATTCCTTCTTGGCCACCACCTCGTCGTACCCTGACTGGTCTAGTATAACGCCTCCCCACGCGTAAACTACTTCGTAATTGTCAAGCTCAGCGTCGAGCCTGCCCTCGTCATACAATTTATCGAGTTCGTCTTCTGGTATGTCTTCGGGCTCATCCCAGGGAAACCTCTTGTCCTCGCGCATCTTAGACTTGTCCTTGGTCAAACCTTCAAGCCAAACCCGAGTTTCGTTGACTTGGGCCTCGTTCCTGATGTCGGCTGCGTAGACGGTATATGTCTTTGTCGGAAGTGCACGTGCGTTCATGTCCGAAGTGTGTAGGTTAGCTTCAATTGCCTCTATCCTGCAGAGGTAAAGGTACGAAGTTAGCATATGTCTCCCATGCACTTTGTACAGCCATGACTTACCATTCCGTTTTGGCTGCGACCTTCTCGTATCCAGCCTGGTCCAAGACCACGCCTGACCAGCAACGCACCACTTCGTAATTGTCGAACTCCTCTTCTAACCTGCCTTCATCGGCCAGCCTGTCCCACTACAGAGGGAAAACCTGAAGTCAGCATTCATATCCCATGTGTTTCGTATATCCACAGCTCACCTCTTCTCTGGGGAAATCTTCGTAGGTGTCCCAGGTCCATCCCAGCTGGTCACGCATCCTGTCTTTGTCTTTGACAAGGCTCTTGAGCCAAGTGCGCGTCTCATTGACCTGGGCTTCGTTGTGGACGTCGCTTGCCCAGACCGTGTAAACTCGGGCCTCAGACGAAGCATCTCGCTGCACTTCAACGGTGGTAGATCCAAGTGGGACGTCTCTCGGCTCGGAAGTCGCAGCTTGTTGATCGACTGGCGGGGTTACATCCTTCTGCGATGCTTCTTCGCTCTTGACTGGCTCCAGGGATTCTGCGGCGTTACGGTTAGCAGATAACATCGACGACGTCAGCCGAGCGAAAAGAAGCACTGCTAAGTGGAGCCTCATGGCTGTAATAAGGAGTTTGAAGAGCGTCAGAGATGACTATGAATCAGCTAAGCAATAGGATGAAGAACGAGACAGCCTCGAACGAAGATGTTGAGATCCAAACTGGCTTCCGAATGCATCCCCTTATGCCTAACGTCTTTCTCAATACGTATACTCATCCGCGCGTGTCTTCGGAGGCACTCAAAATGAGACCGCCCCCTCTTTGGCACAGAAACAAGACTGCGTAATCTGACCCGCGTCAAGGAATAACCTCGACTCGAACCCGAAGGCACAGTCACCCAAGGTGATGGAGGCGTAGCATGCCGGGGCGGTTTTGTCCTGGATACAGGAACGACATAATCCGATCCAAGTAAGGTGCAGACTCAAGTCAATCCCAAAGGCGCAGTCACCCAAACTGATGGCGGCGTAGCCCGGTGGGATGGAGTCGTTCTGAGCCCATGCGTAATAGGGTCCAAGTAAAGCGCAGACTGGGCTCAACCCCAGAGACACAGTGACTCAAGCTGACAGCGGCGTAGCACCTCTCGGTGCGCAACCACAATCCAGCCCCCCACCGCGACGAAGATTGTAGCAGACGAATGCACCTCCGGAAAATGACAGAAGAAAGACGTACCATTCTGATCCTTCTCCATCTTCGCGTCCAATGATGATGCCAATTGATATGTAAGCGCGACTCACTCCGATGCGCGCTGCGGAACTCGGCGATCTCGATCTCGTTGTCGAAGAGGAAGACGGAAGATCCAGGTTGTGGAATGGGGCGGTTGCAGGAAGCAGGAAGAAACACCATTTCGAAACGCTATTGGAAGTGAGTGCCCAGGTGGCACGGCATGCATCATGTGATATTCAGATTAGCAGCCGCGTTCGCGAACCGACGTCATCTGACAGCGGGGCACAGTCCTGGAAGGCAGCAGCGACCCCGACGTTCGGTTGACTGCAAGTTTAGATTTCCACGCAAGAGAGGATGCGCATTTGACTCAGAATTGGACCTGATCTGGTTCGGAATGGCTGTTGGGGTTGTACCTCGGTATGCGGGATGATTGCGATTGACTTGGTAGACCGTCTGTTGACCATCACCATTTGAAACAAGTTTGAAGACTTAGCTATCGCATCTGAGGATTCCAACGCCACCCAATGCCATATATTACAAACCTACACTCCACCACAGCCACCTACCCATCACAACCCCTCAACACTAATCCCCTGCGCCACACCCCTATACTTCTCCTTCCTCGCCTCAATCTCCTCCTTCATCCTCGCCTGTCTCTCTTCCTTACCCACGCCCCTCACATACTGCAACAACCTCAACGCGCCCGTCGGCGTAACACCTTCCACTCGTCTCGCCATACCCACGCTCTCCGGCCGCGCTACCTCCAACGCTCTCTTCTCCTCGAAGCTAAGCCCAAAGATGGATTCGTAGTCAAGATCAACTGGTAACTTGAGGTTCTCGTCTTTGAGCCACCGGGCTTGTGTGGCGGTTTGGGAAGCGACGTAGGGGGCGTAGGTGGCTTCGATGTGGACGCGGTCTTGGATGCGTTGTGAGAAGCCTTTGATTCCGGGGAGGAGGGTAGTGAGGCTAGATGGGGTGGTGTTGGGGAGGCGGAGGAGGTCGTATGCGGAGCGTTTTGTGCTGTCGTTTCGTACGGGGAAGCCTGCTTTGTTCCAGTCTGTCCAGCCCATGGTTTTGGATTCGAGAATTTGGGCCAAAGCGGCCATTTGCTCCGCTTCGTCTTCGAAGGCTTTCCATCGTAGATCGCCAACTACGCCGGCAATGCGGCCCATGGCGGTGAGGCGCGTGTCGGCGTTATCGGCGCGGGCGGACATGCGGTATTCGGAGCGAGAGGTGAACATTCGGTATGGTTCTGAGACACCCTTCGTAATGAGGTCGTCGATCATGATGCCGATGTATCCATCCGCTCTCGTCAAAACCATGGCTTCTTTCCCTAGACTCTTCAGGCCAGCGTTAATGCCAGCAATTACACCCTGACCTGCTGCTTCTTCGTAGCCAGTTGTTCCGTTGATTTGGCCTGCTAGGAAGAGTCCTGAGATGTTCTTCGTCTCAAGCGTGGAGCGAAGATGCCGTGGGTCGACGTAGTCGTATTCTACGCCATAGCCAGGTTGCAGCATCTTCACGTCCTCAAGCCCCTTGATAGTCTTGAGCATGGTGTTTTGTACGTCCGCGGGCACTGTACAAGAGATTCCGTTTGGGTATATTATGTCGCTATCGAAGCCCTCCGGTTCCAGCCAGACAATGTGTGAAGTCTTGTCTGCGAAGCGTATCACTTTCGATTCTAGTGATGGGCAATACCGCGGCCCTTTGACGGTTTCGCGGATGTGTATTGACTTATCAAGGTTATTTCGTATTACGTCGTGCGTCGCTTCGTTCGTTCGTGTCTCGTGATTAAGTAGTTGGTTCTCGACCTGAACGCGCTCATTCAGATAGCTGAACGGCATGGGCGGGTTATCACCCTCCTGCGCTTCCAGAACTTTGTAGTCGATCGTCTTTCCGTCTAGCCGTGGTGGTGTTCCCGTCTTCAACCTTCCCATCGTGAACCCGGCATCTCTCAAACTCTTGCTTAGTCCAAATGTCGCAGCTTCGCCCATGCGCCCGGATGGGAAAGACTCAAGGCCAATGTGTATTTCTCCACCAAGAAACGTGCCAGTCGTGATCACCACATTTCCTGTGGGTATTATCTCCCCACTCTCCAACCTTACACCAGTGATCTTTCCGTATTTGCCTTTCGATCCCTCCTCTTGTGTCCTGTCCACGATGATATCCGCCACGCTACCTTCCACAACACTCAACCCCTTGTATGCCAGCATTTCATCCTTCATATAGCTCTTGTACAACGCTCTGTCGATCTGCGCTCTGGGTCCCCATACAGCAGGTCCCTTCTTCCTGTTCAGCACCCTGAACTGCACACCCGCCTTATCCACGATACGACCCACGACTCCATCCAGCGCATCGATTTCGCGAAGCATAGTGCCTTTTCCGATACCGCCGAAGGAAGGGTTACACGAGCAGACACCGAGGTTGTGGACTGAGGGCGTTATGAGGGCCGTTCGGGCGCCGGAGCGGGCTGCTGCTGCGGAGGCTTCGCAGCCTGCGTGGCCGCCGCCGATTACGATTACATCGTATGGCCTATATAAGAGTCAGTTGGTCAATTGGTGGGGCCTGATAGTAGAGTGGCGTACCGGTCTGCGCCAGACATTGTCGCGAATGTGCGTGGGCGACGACTGAAGCGATTGACCGACCGTACTCGAGGCGCGTGGCCCCAGAGCTGACGCGCTGGTAACGGCACGACTCTGTGCATTATGTGGAGTGCTGTGTCGTAGTCCGGATGTTGCGCCACAAAAAGTTGTGATGGGCCAACTCGGAGGTCTTCGTTCGCCGCATCACGTCCGTGCGCAAGTGGGTAGTCTGACGAGATGCAATAGGTATACCGAGCTGCTGAACTGATGGATGCATAGTGAGGCTCTTTACTACTAGAAGTTCTCCCACAATCGCGTTGTTAGTAACTGTATGTTCATGTGTCATGAAGAAAAAGGTATCATTCCGTAAAATTCCAAGCCACGCCACTCCTAGAGTAGAGATCTTACAAAGTGAATTGTGAGCCCATAGTCGTACATTTGAATATCGTAAAGAGAAACTCCATAAGAAGATCCTACAGCGCCGCGCAAAGACGTGTCTCATCGAACCTTCTCTACCCCGCGACCAACACTTGCCACTCGAGCTGTTGTAGAATCTGCCGCCACGGGATATTCTGTTCGAAGCAATATGGATGAGCAGGCAAAACTGCCTGTTTAACCAGAAGCTTCCTGAACAAGGCCCTCGTCGTTGTTCTCCGTGTCCTCAGTACGAGCACGAGACAAGACATCAAAGTTGCCTGCACAAATAAATTAGCATGACCTCTCCCATCCACTCGCATCCGAAAACGTACGTGCAACCAAGCTCAAATTGCTCTTCTTGTTGCCCTCGCTGTCAAGGTACGTCTCCATGCGCGCATCCGCATCCACATAGAGCATCGATCCCTTGGGCACGTTCATCAGGAAATCCTTCTGCGCGCCCTGCACGAAACTCGCAATCCGGAACCAGCTGGTCTTCTTGTCCTCGCCCTTGCCGTAGCTCGTTCCTACTACGTAGCGCACTAGCGTCCTGTCGCCAGAGACGGTGACTTCTTCTGGCGCAACTCCGAGACGGCCGATGACGGTCATGCGCGCGACCTGCGAGGGGCGGGTGGACGAGAAGCTGCGTGCGAAGGTCGAGGTGGGTGCGCGGGCCGCAGCGCGGAAAGTGGAAGGGAACATCGTCGCGGTGGTTTTGGCGCGGAATTGGTGGGTTGCAGAGGGAGTGGCGGTCGAATTGGCGGTTGTGGGCTGGAGGTTGTCGTGATGCGAGGCGAGTGGGGTTGTTTGCGTTTGCTTATGGGGCGCGACGCGGCTACGCTAGTGTAGCCCTGCCTGGGTAGCTTCGAAGGAACCAAGGTCGGATGATAAGGGGCGCTGACACGTGCGCCCATGGTGCCCAAGTCTTCATCCGCATCTGGTGTCTTAGGAGTTTTACCCGTGATCATTGTATGGTATGATAGGTAGCTTGACTAATCCATAGTCTCTGTGCCATTGGGTATATTTCGCTATGATACAAACATCCCTTGTAGGGATCCCAAGTCGGTATTCAGCCCCGGCTCGGCTACCGCTTTGCCTTCTTCTTCTCCCTCTCGTCCTCCTCACTGTCGTAGTCCTTGTAGATTCCAACGGGTTGAGTCTTCTCCCACGCGCCGGTAAAGACAGCCTTCTCTCCCTCTTTCAGCGCATACTTGAGCAGCGCCTCCCTAGGATCCTCGTCCCTCATATCACTGCCTTCAATCTGTTCCATGACATACTTCTGGTCGGGCGTTGACTTGGCAAAAGGTGTTGTAGCTGGGATATGCGGTCTCCGTGGGTCGCGGCTCTTACCC